GTGATATGTCTGAGAAATAGAATAGAAAGAATGTCACCTTAAAAGACACCATTAGGAATTCAAGGCATTTACTTTAGCATTTCCTGCACTAGATCAGAGAATATTAATTCTCAAGCTCTAAAAACTGGAGGCTGAGGGATTGCTGCAAAGAGCTGTCATAACATGTACATCCAGGAGGGAATTGTGCAAGTCAATGACTCAACACAATCTGCTGAGTTTCCTCATACAGGAAACATTATAACCAATTTGACTGGATTTAAGCTTTTTGCTTAAATCCAGTCAAATTGTTTGTAAATAACTACTATCATTTAAAGCCTTTGCTTAATATATTTGATTTGTTTTGAAAGATATAGGCTGATATTTTTAGGAAGAAATATCTCAGATAATGTTGCAGATTTTCTGAAAAAAAGTTCAGATTACTTGTGTATGGACTTTAATAGAAAGTAGGATGCTCCAGGCCCTAATTGGAAGACTTAGACCATGATCTGATATTTTGCTCACTTCTGTAAATTGACTATTTTACCATTTAGTAAGTTAGAAAGAATTGCTGAGCTTGCTGTTCAAATATGAAACTCAAAATCTATAATAAAGTCTATATGAGGTAAGTCTAGTATGCATGAGATCATGGAGTGTTTTGGTACCTTGAAGATCAGTTAACAGTTATAAGTTTCTTTATCGGGACCAAGAGATAATAAAATATAACGACCAGACTTGGCAGTCAGACTCTTAATTCTGAGTCTATTAGAAGTTTTTACATAATTTATGTGATTAAAATCCAATAATCTATCTGAGGGTTAGTCTTGTGGCTAACAGATTATAAAAGGTTTCTAAAAGTAGGGTAAAACTAAATCCTCATTTCTGAGACACTATACTCACCCAAGATACTTTATTGTTACCATTTTTTCGCTCCACATACTGTTAACATCCTCTTCTATATACTGTTTCCACCTAAAATATCAGACTGAGATATTTTCATTGAAGAGTGTGAAAATTTGTCTTTTCATTTAGTTAATACCACAGAATGTCCCCAAGTCTCTTTTTAGTTGCACATAAAAAAAACATGCTTCCATCCATGTACTGTATATCTTTCCAGTAGATCATCCCTGCAAGTTTGCGGAGGAACCGATACTAATGGGTCATTATTCTAAAGGGCAGCCTAGTCTATCACAGGCCCTCACACAGACACGCACGGCAAACAACCAAGCATTCAAACTGACACTCAAATGCTAATTGAAAAGGTCACATAGTCTAACCTCTGCTCTTTGTACTGTGGACGGGAGGAGGTGAGGGTTAGACACTAGACAACCTGTTGTAATCACCCTTTGCCTTTTACCCATAAAGCATTCATATTAACAATATGGTAAAGAATGAGACTAGAGTTTGAGGTAGGTTGTCAGATAGGATATTACTTTTCTATGTTAAATCAGACAAAATCTTTTTTTGGTCTTTTGAGTCACAAAGATAATTTATTTTGATAAATGCCAGAGAATTTGGCAACAGTATTTATTGATATAATTCTTTTAACATTTTTATAATTCAAGTTAAATACAGCTAATTACTAATTAGTTGCCTTTAAGCTGTCTGACTTCTTAACTTATAGAGCAATAATTTGCTTGAATTTTAGCTCATTCCTCCACATAGAACTAGTCTAATTGAGTTACGTTTGTAGGCCAATTTCCTAAATCAGATAATCATGTCCCTGAAATGTTCAGTTTGTGTGAAAGTATTTGATATCGAATCAATTGATGTGCTCCGAGTTGTTTTTGATTCAATCGAAAATACCTTTATGTCTTAAAATGTAGCACCAGTCCCTCTTGCAGCATCCTGCTGCCACCCGTGAGAAAAGCTTGATGAAAATGGCTAAATAAAAAAATAAAAACTCCCTAAAATTCATAACACATCTCCATTACTAGCTGACATATTAGTGTATGAAAAACATGCCAGACTGAAATGCATTCATTAACACTTTTCTCCATTACTGATCAGTGGTCAGTGCTAACTTACTGTTTATTACAGCCATACATGAAGATGTGATGTGGATAAGGATGTATGGTGACATCACGCTGTACAGTGCTTGGTTAATTTGTTTTAAACCAAATGGAAACACCACAATTTTGCTTTTTCTTATTTTCAAAACTTTTAAAAGTTTGCTTAAAACTGAAATTACGGTTGGATGGAAATGCAACTGTTAACATTTCTCTATATCCTTAAAACTACAATTTTCAAATAGTGCTTTTGCCTAAGGTGCTTTTGAAATAATGACTTCTTCCTCTCTGTGTGGCTTTTCAGCCCATGTGGACTGACGACTTGCTTCACTTAGGATAATGATACGTTCCTACCAACTTCTGCCGAAGCTTTATAAGGTTTCCTGCTTTTGCTCTTGCTCTCTGTGCATCCTGCCACATCTGTCTCTGGAGCACAAAACCCAATCTCTAGCTCTCCCCATATCTAGAAATTCTAACACAGAATATATTAGGACTAGCTAGATTTTTTAGATTACCATGTCATCTGACTTCTACTTTGGATTATCTGGTTAATAGTTGAAGTAGACTACAAGCTTCTACAACCTAGTATTTCTAGTATAAAAAAGCCAGCGTTCATTGCGGCTTTGAAAGCTTCTAAATCCACATTAAACCTAGAATTCTGTACAAACAGGATTGGTATATGTTTGTGGGATCTAGTGTTATGCTATTTATGGTGAAGGGCTAATCTGTCTAATTAAACTGAATGAAAAAAGTTAGCTTTACACCAATAAGGCAGTAAAGTTCTTGTCAAGGAGAAAAATGGCAACTTTTAAGTTTCTCCTTCATTAGCTCCTTCTACTTGGAAATGGCTTGCCTAATGTTTATCCTTGTTCTACTTCGCAAATGGGCGACCAGCTTTATGTATAAACTGATATAAAATCCTTTGATTATGAAAATTTATCTGATTATTAATGGAGGTAATAATACACCAATAATAACATGTATGTAAATGCAGTCATTGATTTCAGGCAGGAAAAAGAGAAATTGTCACACAATGTCCCTTTAACTTGAATTTTGTGAACTGACCTATTGCTTGTAAAATCACGATTTATCATCATCTTGGCTGGCTATTAATTTTACATTAAATGACACCTTTTTTCCTCAAATTATTTAATTCAGTTTATTTATATAGCGCCAATTCACAACACATATCATCTCAGGGAACTTTACAGTTCAACCAGATCATACAGTCAGATTGATTCAAAGTTTTCTATCTAAGGAAAACTAGTTGATTTCATCGACTCATTGACTCAAAGGCAATCCCTCACACTAAGCATGCTTGTAGCGAAAGTGGAGAGGAAAAACTCCCTTTTTACAGGAAGAAACCTCCAGCAGAACCAGGCTCAGTGTGAGCGGTCATCTGTTGAGGCCGACTGGGGTTCAAGGAGACAGAAGCAGAGATACAAAATAAAAAAAATACTAATTATTTTTGGTGACTTCAGTTGATCTTAACAAGGCAAGTTTTATTCTAATGTGATGTCTGAAAGGTAACAACTGTCATGTGTCCTAATGGGGTTTTGACAACAACCTTGTCTTTAAAAAAAGCTTTAATGTTATTGCCTTCTGATAAAAAGAGTTTTTTTCTCTGTCTATTAATAGTTATCTATTAGTTAAGAAAGTATATATTTCATTTAAGAAAGAAATGAGAGGTTACCCAAAATCATTAAAATTGGGTAACAATAAAATCATCCTTATTATCATTTCAATTATTTTTGTTCGTAGTACTATCACTACTACTACTGAGAATGATAAAACCAAATGGTGTTTAAGGGATATTTTCTTGCCATAGTTTATCTGTTTTTCTTAAATAATATTTTAGTTGCTCACTGCTATTTGATAAGTTATCAGACTATTATTCAAACAGGATGTGTAAACCAGGTACTGTGCCAAAAAGCCTCTGAATGAGAAGCAGGCTGCAGCGTGTAGACCAATGGAAAGGTAGCCCCACCGGCTGCAAACTACACACACTTTGTCTTTAAAGGGAGCTTTTATTTTATTGCCTTCTGATAAAAAGAGATTTTTTTCTGTCTACTAATAGTTATTCAATAGTTAAGAAATTATATATTTTATCTAAGAAAAAAATGAGATGTTACCCAATATCATTAATATTGGGTAACAATAAAATCATCCATTTTGTCATTTCCATTATTTTTGTTCATATTACTATGACTACTACTACCAGTAGTCTAGTTGTAAAAAAAACGAAGGGGGATGGTAGAATTTTTTTTTAAGCATACATAGCCTAACTAATATAGTCTATTAACCTAAAGAAATATGCATGGTATGGTTGTTACATGTTAGGTACAGAGGTCATTGTCCTTTACCAAGGCACCTTGCAGTAGACCTGCAGTCAGTCCATAGACTGGCATGGCTATCACTGCCCCTACATACTGTAGTTAGGGACTAATTTCCCACTGGGATCATCTTCATAGTCATGGTCGGACACTTCTTTGTTTTTTTTTTGTACAGGCTACTTGTAAGCCCACAGCCTACCAAATGTTGAAAGGACAATATCATTGTCATCACTGTTGATATATAGTAGGAATTTTACACATTCAGTAATAAAATGTGACATGGGATGTATGGGGGATGGTCCTTTAAGAAGGGGGAGGATTTTTAAGACTTTTTAAGAAGGGGGTTGCCACTCCCCTCAACTTAATTACTGACTACTAATAGTGATAATGATTAGTGCTGCACCGGTACCGATACTGGTATCGGCCGGGGCCCCGATACTGCACTAAGATGGTGGTATAGGGATCGGCGAGTACCGACAAATAGGGCACTGATACCATTTTGAGAGCCAAAAGTTTATTCAGCTATTGTCACGCATTCCAGGTAGGCAATAAAACGTTCTGCTAGATTCACTTTGTATTATTCTTTTTTTTCCTGCTCCACAAAGGTAGGCAGCAGTTTGACAAACCCATTATTTTACATCCAAGTAGTATGCAGTTCTTCATATACACACACACACATCAATTTAAAACAGATGGTATCGGCATTAGCCGATACTGCACAGCCAGGTATCGGTATCGGGGCAAAAAAATGGCATCGGTGCAACACTAATAATGATATAAGCAAATGGTGTTTAAGTGATATATTTTCTTGCCATAGTTTATCTGTTTTTCTTAAATAATGTTTTAGTTGCTCACTGCTATTAGATAAGTGATCAGGCTATTATTCCAGCAGGATGTGTAACCAGGTGCTGAATGAGAAGCAGGCTGGCGCGTGCAGCCCCATGGAAAGGTAGCCCCCCGGCTGCAAACTTTGGACCAATCAGGACGCAGCTTTGCCTTCCTACAAGCAGGACCAGCAGAGGTTCAACCTCTAAAGAAGAAACTATCTGCTTTCAATTTAAAACTGACAAAGCTCTTCCGCTGACATATAAAACAACCAACTAATTATCACTGAAGGAAACGTTTCCAAGTGATGACAATGTTGGGTATGTACGTGCCAGACAGATTTTCTCTGAAATCGTCAAACGTCCAGGATGGAATCGGTCTTTACACGGCGAGGCGGGTGAAAAAGGTTTGTAGTTTCCCTTTAGGATAAAAAAAAAGAAAGAAAAACTTTTAGGTTTGAACACCGGGCGCGATTTAAGTTACTTTCAAGGAGTTTTTAATTTTTTTTAGCATTGTAGAGAGATTGTTTAGCTCGCCTTGTTTCTCTGAGTCGCTGTCAAAGAGCTCCAGGCTGCTGTGACGTTAGGTGCCACGTAGCTACAGGATCTGCAGCGGTTTCTCCATGGATTCACCGCCTCCGCGTTCATTTCTACTTTCCTTAATCTTTAAAGTCATTTTACTTCCGACCTAAAGCTCCCTTCACTCCATCCATGCGCTCCTTTTACGCAGAATAAAACTCCCCAAGCGGTTAAAGTCTCTGAAACTGACGCGCTTCTTCATGCGTCAGCTGAGATACATTGTTCAATCTACAATACTACCGCTTTTAACCACGCCCCTCTTGAATGTTCATTTTGATGTCAAAATATCAGAGCAGAAATGATGAGATCAGTCTGCCGTGTTTTTCCCCTCTGATTTCTTAAAGGTTTTCCCTTCTTTTCCTGTTCCAGGGGGAAAAGTTTGGCCCGTTTGCCGGTGAGAAAAAGCTGCCCAGTGAGCTGGATGAAAGCTCAGACACCAGGCTGATGTGGGAGGTGAATCACACATCTGTGCTCTAAACATTTATATGTTCACACATTTAAAGTGAGGAAACTTAAAGATGATTGGTGCATTCCGCTTAAAGTTACCTCCAAGTTGTAATAACAGAGGAATTATAATTGCACAGCATTGACCATTTTAACAGATTAAAACCTGTTTGTATTTTGAAGTTTTAAGTGTTTATGTGCATCTCCTAAACATTTACACCTTTACATTTACAAGTCTGCATGCTGCAGGAGTTTTGCACATTTTGCCGCAAGCTTTACTGTATTTTAACTTATTTTCAGGAATGTTTTATATAAACAGGTCTGAAACAGGTTTTTGCATCTGTTTTTAAAACTCTTTAAAACCACCTTTTGCTACGATATAGTTTCCAGCCTTTTGCATATGTTTTTCCCAGTTTTTCAAATTAGGAGATGAACCTTGTTTCGGATTCTCTTTAAAATAGCCCAGTTAGGGCTAATGGTGGCGCAGTGCTTATCGTACAAGACCCATGTACGAAGGCCTTAGTCCTCGACATGGGTGACCCGGGTTCAAATCCGGCCTGTTGTCCTTTCCTGCATGTCTCTCCCACTCTCTCATACCCCCTTTCCTGTCAGCCTACTATTCATAAAAAAAACAAGCCACTAGTGCCGTAAAAACTCCAAAAAAACATATATAAAAAAATAAAATAACCCAGTTGGATTGAATAGATAGTGCCGTTAAACATAGATTCCTCAGTTAAACTCCACTCTGGACTTTGACTGGTTAAGTGTATCACAATTAAGTTGGGTCTAATGTAGGAAGGAATGCATGTTTATTTAAAACCTGCATTATGTCTGTAAAATATTATTAGAATTCCATATTTTTACTTTACTATAACTGCAGAAAAGCCTGCAGCCACCACTGTAAAACTGCAACCTCTCTGGTGTTTCTATAGACATGCACTCAATGATTCTAAAGTAATGATTCACATTTGGTTCTGTCATGAGCCTAATGTATGTGTGTATTTGTTGTTTTATGCATAATTCATGCACATTGGTATTAGGGGTGTAAAATTTGCCCAAATTTGAGGTCACAGATTATTTATTTCCACACTAAATGCTAACCTTATAAAGAAGAGATGAAAGTTAAAATATTTTTTCAAAGCTTTTACATATTAAATAAATTTATAACTGGTTTTGGGCCACTTCAAGTATTTAGCATGAGACACAAATGAAGCTTCAGCATTGCAGGCAGGACAGCTAGATTATGTGGCAGCAAATACTTAAAGGCAGGAAAAAATATAACTGTCTCGGCTCAGAACAGAGGACACAGTATTCAAGGCAAGATAGACAGAGGGATAACTCAAAAAGCGCTTATTAAAAAAAAACATCTGCAGATCTGCAATAGCACCGGCTAGGGCGTCAAAGGCAGCAACTTCTGGAGGAGAGAATCTCAGGTTAGTGACCACGATAATCAGACGTAGGATGATTATGAATGCATGACAGTTCAGTCCATTCTGAGAGGTGGTAGATTCCCACTGGTCGACCACCAAGATGTAGAGGTTGCCGCACAGAGATTTTCAGACGCTGAAACCTTTAAGACTACAAAAAAAGCAGGAGATCAGAGATCAGATCAGATCCAAGCAGACATAGGATAATCCAGAGGGCGAAGTCAAGAGGCAGATTCAGGTACAGTTCACAAGTAGAATCCAACAGGAGTCCAAAGACAGGTCAAGCAAACAGATCAGAACAGGAACAGGCAGCCTCAGAGGTCCAAAGGAAGAACGGGCCAGGATCAGGCAATCAGGACACAATCAGTTATGCTAGAAAACTCTCACAGCAAGGGCTCAAGAATAATCTGGCACTGATGACTGGCAGCAATCAGTTTAAATAGAAGCTGGAACAGGTGAATATAATGAGCTGTAATAGGAAACTGGGCGGAGCTAGGCAGAAGAATGAAATGAGTAATCAAGCCAGTCCTCAGCGCCAAGATCATGACAATAACTTGGAAAAACTCAGGTGTATAATGATGCATGTAGTCTTACCAGATAGTTTCAGTACTGACCTTTTGGTTTGGCTTGCATGTGTTCTGAAGAAGTAGTGTTTTAAACCTGAGCCCATGTAGAACATTTGAATGCAGATCTACTAACATCACTGATTATTTTAAAGCGGGTCAAACCTTTTCGTCTTTGTCTTTTGGTTTAACTCTTTCAGGGGTCACTAAAGCAAGTGCTTTGTCTCCATCTAACGTCATCGTTTGCATCTTTTTCTGTCACACCAATTGGACTGAAAGATGAAGTCAAAAATCAATATTGCAACTTTATTTTGATTTTCCTCTGCACTAAGTACAAGTGTGTAGATATAAATTGCAGGATTTTACTATTGTTTGGAAAAATGCTCAGTTCTGCTTGCATGCTTACTTTAAAAGGATAGCTGCAACTATGGCGGAAAACTGGCCTCAAGGCCGATTTATACTTCGAAGCTAGGTCGTCTGCGTAGACGTCGCAGTGAACTCAGAGACGTCCCTGTCCCCTCAGCAGACACTCTGCTGCACCTTTCCCTAATTGTAGGTGACCGCAGACATTGCCGCAGACAGGAGACCTCTGATTGTTCAAATCTACATCCACTCTATTTATGCGTATTTCCTGTTTGGTTAAAGTTTGACCAGCTAGAAGGTGTGCGAGACTGCTGGGAACACCTGGATCCCCCGCTCTTTTTCACACTCATGTCCCTCCATTGTCGAACAAACTTGCCCACACTTCCTCTCCGCCTCGGCTGTATCTTGAACCAAAGCTAATTCCTGATTGTCCCTGTTGTTGTGGTGTGAAATAACATACCACAGACCACGCTTCAAAATTGAGCATAAATCAAAAATGTCTGATCTGCGACATATCTGGGACAATCTCACTGCGACACACTGCTACAGAGGTATAACCAGCCCTTTACCATATTACAGCCACCTAAAGGCAGTAGTGAGAGGGTCAGTGTCTAGATGTGGTACCTCAGACATGTGGTACCTCAGACATGTGGTACCTCTGCGATTTGAAAACACTGTTTGTTATATTGCAATTCGATTGCAAATACAATGAATTGCCCAACCCTTGATATCAACTACTTTCATTTCATTTCATTACATCATTTAATGTGGTTAATTAAATCATTTTTTGAGGGATTGATTAAATCAAAAAGAACCCTAGGAGGTTCTATACTGCTCACGGTTGTTATTGAAACGGAAGTTTGATAAAATCTAATTATTACCATGCAATTTTATGTTTCTTTTGGTTCTTCATTAAAAAAATTCCAAAGATTCAATGCTCCATGATGGCTGTACTTATCTGATATTTGTGTTTGGTCCCACCTCTAGTTGATTAGAAAGGTGATGCAGAAGTGTTATTCATAAAAAAACACACATCTGTATGTGCTGCATATTTAGTGTTTTAAATGGTCCTCCAGCTGTCAGAGACATACCTGATGGATCTAAAGTTTTTCTCTAGGATTTGTTGCGCTGACTTTCTAGGCTATCATTGCCAGTTTGCATTGTTCCTTTTCTAGGCCGTTATTCTATTAATTGATCAGAGCGGATAAATACTCAAAACATCTGTAGAGCAATTTCATGCTTTCTTAATGCCAATCAAAGAGTTTCCCTTTGTACTCAGAGCCTGATGTTAGCAGATGCTTTAGATCAGAGTAAAAAGGGGGAAGGAATTCTTTCAAAGTTGGCTGCTGCGAGGAGACCATTTTTAAATAATTTTTTATAAAGAGTTCATTGTGTACGAATAAACCCCAAAATGTCCTTTTGGTTTTGTGTATCAGCCACAAGGCTCAGTGGAACTGATTTATTAAAAATGCCACCAACTGTAAAAATATAGATTGGAGGTTAAAGTTGCAGCTATAAGAGATCATGCATAAATGTTTCATAATTAGCAGTTACCATGATTAAAAAGTAAATACTGTATACACTCTTACCAGGAGACATAACTGGAATGTAGTAGAAAACACATCCTTTATCAGAGCACACAGCTGTGTGGGAAAACACAGGTTTATCCAAAGAGTTTCTCTGTTCCTGTGTGATAAAGGAAAGATTTAATTATGCTGCAGATCACTGAACCACAGCTGATGTGAAAACTGACTCTCGTCGATTCTTGGTGTGAAATAGCTGATGGTAACGGGTAAAGAAAACGCTGCAGTTATCTGTTGTTGTCATGTTGTGAGGTACAGAGCTGCATTCAATGACCAGGTGTTCACAGTAAAGGCCATCACTCTTTGTTGTACAGAGGAACCAATCTTCAAGGCATCAAGAAAAAAAAAACAAATTAAAAGACGAAACAGTTGTTCTCCTCTGAAAGCTCTCACTGTTGCTCTGCTTTCTCTCTTTTTTCAGGTTCGTGGCAGTAAAGGGGATGTTCTGTATATTCTGGATGCAAGTAATCCTCGCCATGCCAACTGGCTGCGGTTTGTCCATCAGGCGCCTTCACATGAGCAGAAGAACTTGGCAGCTATTCAGGTACATTTCCACTCAGCAGACAATGAATCCCTAAGATTCAAACACAATCAATAAAACTGGCTGCAGGAAGGAGAAAGTAAAGAGTTGTCTCATTTTCTTTAAAAACCTTCAAAAGAATAATCCATGTTTTCAGTTTCCCTTCTATTATTGGTCAAGAAGGTTAAACTATTTATTGTATTATTTCCTGCAAAAGTATCCATTTCCCTTAAAGTTTTCCACATTTTCTCATGTTACAACCGCAAATCTCAAACATGTTTCAATGTGATTTTATTTGACAGAACAGGACAATATGCTGCATAATGGTAATGTAGAAGGAAATGGATTTATGGTTTTCAAAATATTTCTTTCTCAGGAAATCCTAAAAGTGTAGCATAGTTTTGTATTTAGCTCCTTTACTCTGGTGCTCCTAAAGGAAATCCATTAGTAGTAGTCCTTTATGCAGTTGTCTTTTTTTTGCATGTTTTGATTTGATTTTAGAAATAATCGAACTTTATTAATCTGCATTTGACCCATTCCCTTGGGGAGCAGCTGCATAATCATTGTGACTCTCAAGAGCAGGTCATTCAATGCAGATTATGAGACTTTTTATTTCTAATTTTGAAATAGCACCTGATATTTTGTCTGAATTTAAAGGAAATGCTGGAAGTATTGTTGCTATGCAACAGTTGGTGGAAAAAGTATGATTTCGATGCTACATAATATGGTGGGTTGCCAAGTCCAGACAGTGGTGTGTTTTTTTGCAGTTCAATCATGTCAAATCAAGCCCAGTTTGTAAATCTTTAATTGCGCTGCTCAAGGTGACTGTATGTTGAAGTAGCTCAGCTAGATTGATTGTAATAAGAATTTTTAAAAGAACGTCACTTTCTCCATTTGTGGATCAAAGCTTAAAGCTTGAGGTCAAAATAAGATAAAACATGGAGGCATACAGAAAGAAGCTGGAAAGCAGGGTCCTGCAGGGCAATCTCAGAGATGTCTGTTCAGGGATGAAGGAGATCACAGGGTTCAAGTAGAAGCAGGATCAGACAGATGGAGGTCTGGACAGAGCCAATGAGCTGAACTCAATTTTTATCAGGCTAATTCAGAAACAAGCTTGGCATCTTTCTCTGCTGCCTACTGCAAAACTGACATTCTTTGATCCAAAGATTTCCTGTCACGCCTAAAATCTTTCCTCGTCTACTGTACCTCGGCTGTGACCCCCTCCACTTCTTTGCATTTGTCCTCAATCAAATTATGGACACCTGTCTGTCTCAAGTCAAGTGAAGAGGCAACTGGAGAGGCTGAATCACAATAAGGCACAAGGTCCAGATGGGGTCAACCCTCTGTGGGATTCTACAGCACCTCTTCCACCAATAACCCGATCCCAAAGAAAACTTAGCCATCAGTCATCACTGACTTTAGACCTGTTGACCTGACATCCCTCATCTTAAAGGTCACAGAGAGACTCCTGTTGGTCCGGATGAGCAAGCAGACAAGCAGCTATCAGGACGTACTGCAGTTTGCTTATCACCATGGAGATGGAGCTGATGACTCCAACATATACCCGCTTCAACAAAGCCACTGTCGTTTAGACAAAGCAGACAGCGCTGAGAGGATCATGGCCTTCAACTTCTACAGTGAATTTAAAACTATTTTGTCCGATAATGTCAGGAACTCCAGAAGACTGAAGAGAGGCATCAACAAGCATCAGGATCAGGGTCGGACTGGGAACGATTTTTGGCCCTGGCATTTTTCCCTCTACGCTGGCCCACTACCGCACGCACCACCCCCATCCCCCTACGACCCCACCCCTAAGGAAACAAAAATAGAAGCGCAGTCAAACTGCGTCTCAAATGTAAAACACAATATGATTACACATTGTCGATTAACCATCACCAAGACTTCTATAATGAAGCTTTGGTTATTAACTCGGACACGACAGTTACTGCTGCTGCATAACATCCGCACTTGCACGAAGCCAGCCAGACACCCACTCACACATACTAGGTCTACAACGTCAGCCCGACTGTTGTTAAAACACCAAGGTAAAACAATATAGAGGCAGACAGGCAGTTCTTCAAGAATGAATACATGAAGCTCAGCGGTGTGTAGGCATTCACTTCAAGTCTAGGTGGCATGTGGGCAATGAAACGGAATAATGTAATAGATGCAAAAACCCATCATGCACTGCAACATATTGTTGCAAAATAATCGTAAATAAATTAGCCAAATATAACAGGAACATTGTAGTTCGGTTTAAAGAAAGCATTTTGATTTTATTCTAATTTAGTTTGTTGCAAGGATTTTACAGTTTGAAGAAATAGAAAATGATACCATATGCCAACCGTCACAAGGATGTGCATGACAAGGAAGGCCTATATATATTGCATGCATCATTTAGATAGTTAACATTGTATTACTTCTTGAGCTTCTTGAGTTATTTAATGTCACAGGTAGGAGCTTCGGCTTGGGAGGGAAGTGTATGATTTAAGGAGGGCTGGCCCTCGCACGCTGAAATTAGGACCGGCCCACCGGGCAAATGCCTGGGATCACAGATTACCAGTCCTAGGCTGATCAGGATCAAAGAATACCTGGAGGTTCTTTCTAACCAGATAGTCAGCAGCACAGGATTACCACAGGGAAACACTCCCACCATTCCTTTTTACTCTGTACACATACCCCTAACAGTACAAGACAGAGTCAACCTGCTGAACTAATAGGATGACTCTGCAGTTGGGTGCATCAGAGATGGACCAAAAGCTAAGCACAGGGAACCAGTGATCCGCTTTGTGGTGTGGAATCAATCCTCTGACCCTGAATGTAAACACAACATGGTAGATAATTGTAGATTTCAGAAGAAATGGCAACAAGTCGAATGCTAGACGAGGCAGACAGCACCGTGAGGATCATGATATCTCCAGACCATCGTGGCGGAACATGTGAAAATGGTGAAGGAGTACCTTGGTGTTCCCCTGTACAACAGACTGGTCTGGAGACGCAACTGTGTCATCGTAGACTAGAAGGGAAAGACCAGACTGAACTTCCTAAGGAAGCTAAGGTCTTTTGGAGTTTGCAGCAATATTCTGTATATCGTTTGTAAAACTCTTGTGGAGAGTTTGATGTCTTCTGGCATCATCTGTTGGAGTATAAGCATCACAGCAAATGACTTAAAGAAGCTTAACAAGCTGGCAGAGCATGTGAACGGAGCGCCGCGCCGCGCAATTCCCGCTCAGGAGGAAGTTTGCTCATCCGCTTCGCACTCACCTTAATTTTCCTGCTGCTCCGGTAAAATCGCTCCACGCACGCTCAAACTTTTTAGTAGAAGGCATTTTCTGACATATTTCGTTTATGTAATTATGCCAGGGCCCTGGGACAGACGGTGTTTGATTTAATGTTGTGACTGATAAATGTGTATTGTCTTATTATTGCTTTTTATTGCTCTTATTATGTGTATTGTCTTATTATTGTCTATGATTCTGAAGGTCAGTCGTTAAAGAGAAGGGATTGTCGTTAGAGGGGGGATTGACATGCTAACAATGGAACCAATGGAACCAAATGACCCTTGGTTTCAATTTGCATGTTTCCAAGCAATACAAGGCCTTGTCTATATAAAGTCTCAAACTCACTGTGGATCCAGACATTTGAATTGAGAAAGCTTCCTGGAGGGGAAGCGAAATGTCCAGTGGATTGTTTATTTTTAAACTTTTACAGAATGACTATGACCTGGATGACTGAGAATCTTCATCAGCAACAGCTTATGAGTTACTAAAATATTAAACCACCCTTTGGGATCAATAAAGTATTTTTAATTGAATGGAATTCAGACCTAAAGTGAACAAAAAGGACCAAAATCTGTTTGGAATGAGACCAACATTTTAAGGTGGTCTTGGTCGGGTTGCTTGGTCTGGACTAAGTTTTTCTAATTGCTATTAGCAGTTGCACTGATGATTCCAACCGAAGGCATAAAAACTCCGGTCTGTTTAAAGTAGACCAAATGTGGCAGGTGTGAATGCACCCTTAATGCTTTATAATAGTACTGTTTTTGTGACAGCTATATGTTCTGTATTTTTATTTTTAACAAACTACATTATTTCCATTAGTTCCATTTTCTCCAATGTTAACACACACTTTAAACCAGACTACATTAATCATGTGTGACATATTAATAGTTCAATAGAAAAAGAACGTAACCTTAATTACAGAACTTGGAGAATCTAATGTATTCATACAGCTTTTAAAAACATGCTTGTCAGTTATTTATAGGCATAAAATGTATAGCGTGTTTAAAGGGATTGAGCAATAGTCCCTTTTGTATATAAAAAATCATGATTGTATGAACATTAAACAATGTAATACTGGGTTTCATTTCACTAGCTCAGTACCTAAGTTAATAATATGCTTTAAAAGGATGGAGCCATGCTTCCATATGGAAATAAAATAAGGAAAAATATCAAAAAGTTTCAATAATAAGATAAAGTTGTCCGTTTCAGCAGTGTGAAATACGTCTTTTTGTTTGAGTGTTTTCCTATTTAACATTGATCAAGTTTTTTGGGTTTGACTAGGATTATAGACATAGACCTTTTGCAGAGGTATTAAGTATCAAAGTACAAATACTTTTTTACTTTACTTAAGTGTAGATTTTGGCTATCTATACATTACTAGAGTAATTCTTTTTTTAGAAAACTTTTTACTTCTACTCTTTACATTTTGTTTGCAGTTATTTCTACTTTCTACTCGTCACATTTAAAAAAAGACTTTCTAGTTTTGTTTCATTTAAGCTCATTTTCATTATGGTCTGTTGGTATTTTAATACCACTAAAAACCATCAAAATAATTAGTTTCATCCAGACAGTTCATTTCTTTGTTGTTGGACTCGGTACTGAAGCAACTTGTTGTTCTCCACATACTAGAATAAATAGTTTTTCAAGATGATGCAGATTTAAATGGTTATAAAACTAAGAAAATGAAGTATAAGGAAGTTATCATCGAGAATTTTAGAAAAGTTTTTCTTTAATGAGGTAGTGCAGTAACCATAATAAGGTTCAAAGCATCTGTCCTTAACATTTTTCCTTCCTTACTTTTATTTTTATACTTTAAGGAGTTTAAGAATGAGTAGTTTAATACTTTTACTTGAGTAAAAAGCTTATGCTGATACTTTAACTTTTACAAAACTGTTTTAAACAGTGTGATTTATACTTCCATTTAACTAATAAACATTAATACTTTAGACATCTTTGCCCTTTTGCCATCATATAAAATCTAGGCTACATTCTCCACTGTCCACGGGAGCTTTCTAATCTAATCTAATGTGGATGAGCTTGTTTATCTTTATGACCTATCTGTTAAACAGAATAGAAATAATGTACTATTTTCTTTTCACTACATATTTATGTGCTGGTTTGTCTCTTAAAACCTCTAACTGAAATCTGTGGTTGTCAAAGAACAAAGGGAAATAGTTTACATACTTTTGCTTAGCATTAAATATTTTAGTAACACAGAGAAAAGGGGTCATGTAACAAAGTGGCGTTAATGTAAAATGGAAAAAGACTGAAAAAGAAAGTCTGGAACCACAAATTGGATTGGTAGGAAATCAAACTTGACTGTTTTATTATGTCATTGTTTTCATAAAATAGATTTCATTTAAATCAGTTGCTTGTTGAAGGATGCTTACAGTTTGGTGTAACTACTTAACAAAACAGTTTGAGGCCAAATTCTCCTGCTGCCTAAAACTGGAACCATTATAATGTTTTATAAATGGGTGTAATTTGGGTGTAAAATTGGATACGAAGCAAAATTCCTTATCTTAATTTTGTATTCCTAAATGCCTGAGAAAACATATCTTTCATATGATTTTCTTGATAAATGATGTGTCAACAACAGTAGCCAGGCCCACAGGCTCCTAAGGAAATAGTATGAATTAAAAAGAAAAATATAAACACAATTTGTGAAGGGCCGCAAACCCACATACACAACCTTGTGAGCTTAGAGCTCTGGTCTCATAAACTTCACCTCTTGCTCTTCAGTGTAAGAAGACAAAAAAAAAAAGATGGCTCTTGCATGATAAAAGCAAAATAGAGACAGAAGGGAAAGAATATGAACGCTTGGGTCTAAGGGCCAAGTTCCTGCCATTAATGCTGGAACACACAGTGTGATTGGTTGTTTAAAGGTCATGCATGCGAGTTAGATCTCTGCATTTCATCAACAATGACATTTATTGTTTAGTTTTCCTCCTCTTAATCGTTATTTATGTACATTTAGAATCCTGTAATTAAAACAAAATGACGTTTTGATTTTATTAACGTAACCTTTAAGGACAGGAAGGTAAATGAACACATTTTTAAGGTTATGCGCCTTTGACCTGTGGCCTCAATCAGGCTTTAACTGAGTGCTGGTGGGGTGTAATGGGCTCAGCCCCCAGAAAAGCTTCTAGATACTTTAGGGTCTCACTGTAAAAAAAAAAAAGAAGAAAAAAACAGTTGAAGATAGGGTCAAGCTGTTTTATTTTCACATGTTCTTTAGGATAGTGTGTTGGAAAAGAATGCATACTCTATGAATTTTGTCATTTTTCTCATATTACAACCACAAATTTGAAATCAGAGCTTTAATTGGACCGTTTTTACAAATGTATATAAATTCTTTGTAGCTCTGGTCTGATTCATGTCTTACCCTGAAAGGGAACTTCCAACCTAAATTCTTTTGTTGAATCAGCTTCCTTTCAGGATTGTTCTGTACAAAACTCAAACCATCTTTCCATAAACACTTATCATCAGCTGCTAAAAAAGAAAAAAAAAAAAAAATAGCCCCACAGCATGATACTGCCAAAACCCTGTTGAAGTGTCAAGTCTTAGTTTTAAAGTCGTAGGGAAGTCATATTTAAATGTGAAATCATTCTGGCTTAAACATGTATATGAATGTATTCTTTATCAGATGATATTGTCCCAAAAGTTAGAAAATTTATATTTTTTAAAATCCTGTATAAAAATCTGTCTTAAAATCTCATCGTTATCTCATGCAGGCCAGTTAGTTATACGTCAGTTTGTACACCTTAATTCGGCCAATTATATATCAACAGTTATCTGTCAATCAAATTTTTGGTCATAGCATCTTGATTCATATGTCGCAGCTAATATACGCAACGGTTAGAATAAGAAATAAGAATCATTTCCTTTCCCATTGAGTTCCGTCCCAGTGTTCACGGGGATGGACGTCTGTGTCTTCAGCAGGCGTAGAGCTAACAGAACTGGCAGCATTGCGAGGCAAGGGCTAAAACATGTACGGCTGGAAGCCTTCTACACCAAACCAAGCTTCTGCTGCCCTGGCGTCCTCTTCCACAACATCTTCGTCCCCGCTTTCCGCCTCTAAATAAAAAATGCATGATGGAGGGGACTCATCCACGACCTCCGACACTAAACTCTCCTCCTCTTGCATGTTTCTGCTGTCCATAGCGTTCCTTGACAGTATTGTTGCTAAGTGCTACTTGGTCTCAATGCAATTTCCCATTGGGAACCTACTAGCAATAAATTGCTAACTGCTTAGCAAAATGCTTCCGACAAACCGGCCACTTCCAAAAATGCTTGCGAACCTCCCAACACATCAATCCCGCCCTCTTTATAAACGACCAATCACATTCACTTTATTCATTCGTGTAAAGTCGGGCACTACTCAGGAGAATTCGGAACTGCGACGGTTGGAAAAGCCGTTTCCCTATGACTTTAAGCTTCCGTACAACCTTCTCCCTGACCTGAATGCTGTGTTCCTCTGTCTTTATGATGCTCTCTGTACACTGATGTTCTCTTCTAAACCTCTGAGGCCACCTGTGGTTTTCTACAAAACAATAATTGCATTAGTAGCGAGTTTAACATATTATGCTATTAAATCTCAATAAGATAAAATGAAATGTGCAGCATGGCAAGAATAATGACTCTGTGTTTGTTTTTCTGGGTTAGGATGGAGAGAACATCTTCTACCTGGCTGTGGATGACATAGAGACAGATACAGAGCTTCTGATAGGCTACCTGGACAGTGACATGGAAGAAGAAGAGGAAGAGGAGGAGGAAGATGTAAAAGATGAAGATGAGAGCAGTAAAGAGGCCAAACATCTTGTAGAAATGGGTAAAGTGAAATCTTCAGAATCAGTTTATTAAACCACATTTTTGTTTTGGACAGTTTGAATGAGCTCTATGGGTACGCCCCCCCTCCCTCTGTGTAGAACTTGTCATAAAGAAGGAAGACCACCCCTGCCTGCTCTGTGAGAGCAGTTTTCCAAGCGAGGAGATCCTGGCCGCCCACCTGCAGAGTCTGCACCAGAGGCCCAGCACCGAGGAGAAGGAGTTCAAATGCAGGAACTGTGGCAAAAAGTTCCCCATCAAACAAGCTCTGCAGCGCCAGTGGGTTGATTAATGATTAGCAGCCTTTTCACTTGAGATTTGTTGAAAGAACTAAACATAAAATAAGCATATTTGGTTGCAGCAGCATAATGATAGACTATAAAAAGAAACTCATTTTAATTTAGTTTTATTATTTCTTACATAAAACTATTACTTTTGATATTTCAGCACCTAGTCTTCCTCAGTATTTCACAGGGTTGGAGCCAACAGAGAGAGAGGGGTGTCTCTGTGCTTCTGAAAGACTCAAATAGACTCCTTTATTTTTCTAGCTTGGTCCTTTGGATCTTTATTATGCAAAAGCATCCTTGTATTTTAAAGAGTGTATGCGTTCTCTAACTAGGTCCCTGAAACCTTTAAAGCGGGGCATACACTGTGTGATTTTTTTGCCCTTTTCAGGGCGACTTTCCAGTCGTGCAAGAATTTTTCGATTGGCCCGATTTTCTGCATGAACGTGCCTCGTGCGTCGTGTAGTATACACGAGAGGTTATCAGTCTCTCATGACCACCTCCCGATCAGACATATAGGATTTTCAGTCGACTGTCTTGGGCAAATCACTCAGTGGGCATGCGCAAACAAGATTCTTCTTCTTCTTCCTCTCAGATGAAGCATGGCGGGGGTGTGAGTGAAATGGAGTTCTTTCAGAACGTAGTAGCCACATTCGCTCAGCCATGTCTTTATCCAAATACGTCGTCGCCTTTTCTTCTTAGGGCTTTCAGCACAAAATTGCACATTTTGCCAAGGCAGCGCGTTTCACTCTAGTGACCTTTATATTCCACTTCTATTCATTTGGCTTCCGGATAGACGAATTCGAGTAGCGCCATCTCACTGCGGATCTGAGTACATCTTGGTTTTTAGATGTACAGTGTGAGCAGGTAGATTGCATCACATTGTCGTGCTGCACTGTGTGAGAACATCCATCATGAGCTGTGAACTTAAGAGAGCTAAAAGAGAGAGGAGCCCACAGCACCATAGATGCACACTTTACTTAACAGTGGTCTGAAGTGCAAACCCAAACGCTCATATTTTATTTTCTAGCTTAAGTTAATGTTTGTTGTTATAAAAATTCATCTTTAGTCTCATCTGACCACACTGGAGTCACACGTTTTTTGAACTTCACATGATCACTCAAGTAACTTAAGTACTTAACACCTACAGAATTGAATATAACTCTGTTTCAGATAACATTTGGTTGCACTTCAAATTAGTGTAAGATTTACTCTTTAGCCTGTGTCAAATTTTACTCTTATTAGTGTCAAAATCAAGAAGACTTCTGAGAGACTTACAGGTAAAGGCTAATTTATCTTCAGAAACCAGGTCGTCTGTTTGTGTGTTGCAATTATCGCAAATGTACCCCCACCCCCTCCGCATAAACTCTGGTGCACCTCTTCAAAATTGTAGGTGACCGTAGACAATCTACATCTGTTCTACACTATCCGTATTTCCTGTTATGTACCTTACGGGCTTATTTTGTTTGTATGACCGCCATTGTGGAAAACGACCACCTGGATCCCCGCTCTTTTTCACCATCATGTCCCTCCATTGTCGCCCAAACTTGCCCCCACTTCCTCACCACCTCGGCCGTATCTAGACCCGCAGCTGGTTTGTGATTGTCCATCTTGCGTTGTGGTGTGGAATTACATAGTACAAACCACGCTTCAATATTGTGCATAAAACATAAATATCTGCTTCGGTAGTATAAGCAGCCCTTAATCGACACCATGAAGAGTAAAAGTTATACTGCACCATGGTCAGATTTTACACTATTATCTCCAACATTTGAGTAGATTTATACTCTATTTAGACTAAAATAGGATAAAATTTTGAGCACTTCATTTTTTTACTGTGTACATATAATCGGATGGTAATGCAATGTACATATAATCTTTGCCATAGTTCTCTTATATTAAAACTTTAGAGATCCCTCTTGTGTGCTGATCAGATCAAGTAGTTAGGTTTGTTTTAAACTCTTTTATTGAGCTCGGTGTGTGGGTATGTCTAAACATTTCTTGTTCTTTTCTGAAGATCAGCGCTCGGTTCCGTTATTCAAATAACAATTTTCCAGCCCTTCTACATTTAGTAAATAGAAAAAGGGAAATAGGCCTCTATATCCCTTGGGAAATATCTATCCATGGATTAACAAAATAAAGTTTTCAGACACTTTGTTGTTTAAAAAAGTAGAAGATAGATTAGATTTATTAATTTTTTTTAGGGATCCAGATGAATATTTCATCTCTGATAAAGAAAAAAAAAATGTATCTTTAAACAAAATCCAAAAAAGGGGCTTTCCCTTTTAGTAAATTTTGCGAAATTAAATTTAGGGTTTTCAAAAGTTAAATTATGATGCCTGATAAAAGAAAATTTGACTTAAAGGGAAACCTTTACTATAGATGCCAAACATACAGATGGAGTAACAGTCAAAACAAAAACTTAATCCTGAATGCATTTGCTTTTTATTAATATCTTTTAAGCTAAGACAAAGCTTAAGCATGAGAAAATATTAATGGTAATGCAACATTTCCAGTTTGATGGGGAAATCTGTATATGTAAGAATGATTTGGAATAACTCTAATCTGCCTTTGTTAGTTTATCTTATCTACTATAATGAGGATTTCTTTTTAACATAGTATCTGATTTGTTTAACATTTGGATTTCTCCGCAGTGTTTTGCATTGTTCTGAGACACTTGATCCGTCAGGTGATTCTAAAGCTCACCAGTGCTCCCTTTGCCACAACACCTTCAGCTCAGAATCCAGGTAATGCATGTAGTTTATTAAACAATGTGTTTACATTGTAAAAAAACAATCATTTTATTCTCTTGTTAGTAGATTCCTCCATAATATTCCGCTCATATTTCTTGTCCACAGTTTCGAACAGCATAAGGAGGCATGCAAAGGAGATGCCAGGTTCATATGTAAAGCAGAAAGCTGTGGGAAAAGATTCAAAAGCAAGGACGCTTTGAAGAAACACAAAGGCAATGTGCACACAGGTGGGAATCTCCGTCTTTTCTTATTGCAGGGTCTTTCTCTTTGATGTTCACTGTCTCAAGCTCCTGATACATTCACAGCCCCATAAATTATCGTTTTGAAGGTTTTAATGTAATGAATGTGTTTGCCCATCAGCAGGCTGAGCATTCAAAGAACTGCACAAAACCGTACATGACCTCGATCAGTTAAAGCCGCTCCAATGTTAAGACCCATCTCTAATTACATGAACTCCATAATTGCTGACCTGTGTTTTCTGGGGCAGCTTACTCTGCCAGATAATTGAGCTTCCATAGCTATTTATGATGGGATGTAGGGCAGCGGGAATCTGCAAAAGCCTCAGATGTAAATCGAGTATCAAAGAGAGATTAAGATATTCATCTGAGAGGCTGATGGAGCTGAGAGCTGGGACTTCATGCTTTTCCAAAATGTGGTCAGGACAGGGAGAGGGTGTGTGAATGTGTGTGTGTGTGTCTGTGTGTGGGCAACGGGGGAAGTGGATCAGACACAACAGATGTTGATCTTGTAATTTAGATGGGGATAATGGCTCTATTGGTCTGAAAACGGTGGGATTACTCTGCATATGATCATAAACTGGTAATATTTTTTACTGAGCAGTGCTTGTTCTTGAATTTGTTGCTACATTTGTTTATTCTGACAATTTCTTATGCTTTCTTTTTTTAAGGAAGTGCACGACGGAAGCTAACTTGCACCATATGCAACAGAAAATGTTCTTCTTCTCTAAATCTTCAAGAGCACAGAAAGGTAAGATGTTCTTAAACTCAGTGTCCTGCTAAAGTATTCAAATATTATCCTCTTTTTAGATATATTTTGAAAGTATTCAGCCCTCTTTATTCTGATACCCCTAAATAAAATGCAGTTATACCAGTTTGCATCCAGGGATAAAAAAAGAAACCATCCCACTGTGAAAAACGTGGGTTTTCTGGTGAAATTGACCTTTTTGGACTATTTGCAAAACTAACATTAGAGATCATCCTGAATCATGGTGGGAATGTAGAATGGGAAAACAAGGAACACTACAGGACAGGTGTGGGTTTTTCAGGTGTGCAAGAGCACGACTCACAGTGTTGCTTTACAGTGTTGCCCTCCCCCAGCATCTGCAAACTTCAGAAAAAGCTAATTGAGAATCACGTTTCACTCACCTCCGCAGTTGGAAACCGTTTCACAGTCGTTGCTTTTGCTGCATTTTCTTTCTTTAAAGTTGAAATCAAACTGTCAACCAAACTAGCTTTATTTATGAAATTGTGTCTTACTGTTATCAAAAATTATAGCACAAACGTGAAAAATATAAATGTTTAAAAGAAATAACAGCATTGTTTATAATTTTTTTACCATGTTGCAGAACTCTAAGCGGTTATGTCTCGGGTTGGGTTGGTTCTGTAGCTATCAGTTACTTTGCTAATCCAGGCATACTGTACCTCACAGCCATAAAACACCTAAGAAATAATGGAAGCCGAAGCTGAAAGGACAATCCAGTGTCTAGATCCCCTTGCTAATGATTTTAAGCCCATTCGGCGTGTGACTTAATATATAAGTACTGTTAATAGTAAGACACAATCTCTTAAAATAAGTTAGTTTAGTTGGATGTTTGATTACTGCTTTAAAAATAGCTTCAAATAATATTTTAGTGTATACTGTATAAAAACCCTAACCCGTTTTTTTATTTTTTGTTTTTAGAAAATGGTGCGCAGGTTGGTCATGACGTGTGGTACGGATTTTTATTATAATTGACAGCTGGTGCAGCTCTGAAACATGACTTTGGCTCTGCTTTCTAAACATTTAAGAAAATTGCCTGTTGAATAATTTTGAATGAGTTTGTTAAAATTTGACCAATCAAATATGGGGCATTGTTCCAGTCAGTCAAACATTTTACCAAATCAGGACATTGGGTCACCCTCTGGGTGTGGACTCATGGCTTTGGAGTGTTAAGGGAAAGTGGTAGAATTTAAAGGGAGGATGGAGTTCACTTCATGATGCAAAAAAAAGGGGATTTTATCCCTTTAATCCTGCTAATTCCTGGTAGTTCCCAACCGTTTACAGTGCAGCATGTTAAAGTCTACTTGTGCCAACTGGACAATGACCCTAGACCTACACTAAAACTGTATATGGAACAAAGCATAGTAATGTGGGATAAGGGCCAGCTCACAGTCCAGATCTGAAAACATTTCAAGTCTGTGATAGGTTTTTAAATTTATGTCTGTTCCATCTAACCTGATGGAGGACACGTTTGGATCTGTGAGAATTTACTCAGCCCGCTCTTGTTTTTACAGCGACGTCTCTTTGGAGCTGTTTCCCGCAGCTTGGTCGTTTCCATCAACCTCCACACTGTCTGTAAAACACTCTAACACTCTTTATCTCACACTCTGCCGGGCTTTATGTGCTTCTGTGATCACTTACTCCCCCCTTTATGATCAAGTTGTTGCAAATGTATTCTAGGTTACACGGTGCAGGGGGCTGGTTTCTTTTTCACCGGCTCATCCAAACAGGTCTTGTGAAATTTAAGAGCCTCTATTGGCAGACCATAAGATTTTAACCTTGGCGTCAGGATCCCCTCTCTCTCATTGATGGATCACAGGTTTGAACGCAGCTATTTAAATACTTTCCCAAAAACTTTTTAGGCAGACAAATGTTTGCTTTTGTTACTGTGGCTATCATCCTGGTTTTCATTCCACACTTTTGGTCACTTAGGTTTGGGTATGTTCTCATCAGACAACATTCCTCTGAGTCACACAGATGTAATTGTAGCATAATTAGCTGCTATCGCAATCATATTTTATAAGTTTTTTTTACAAAATAGCTGATTTCCAAGAATTGAGTTCCTTTTTTTATGACAGAAAAGCACCTGAGATTTACTTCTTGTTACCGTTTGCAACTATTGGTTCGGACTACAAAGTAGCATTCTCATGTCTAAATAGGCTAGTTTACATCTTCTCTTATTTAATGGTCAAATAAAGCTTTCAGATAAATAAATTAAATAAAACATTCTAATTATCTGTTGGAGTTACATAAGAAAAATTTAATCTTCCACACCTCCACTTCCAGTATCAAAGAGTGGTTACAAATGACTGAGAACTGTGAAAGAATAATACTGAGCATTTGTTTGATTGTGGTCTTTCATTGCAAAATGAAAGCCTCCATAGTTTTCTCTTATTCTATAGTTCATTGCTGGTTTTTTCTCCTTTTTCTTGTCAAATCTACACTTTATAATCTGTCAAAATCAACACAGAAACGATAGAACTCCTATATTTAATTTAAAACTCATTCCCAAACTAAGAACTCAGCCAAGCTAAATTAATTTGGTGAAAGATTATTAACATGCTGCCTGGTCATCCTGTCAGGCTCAGAACAGAAGGATCCAGACAAACAGATTTTTCAAAGCATTTATTAAAAACTGTACTAGAGTGAGCGCCGTCGGCATCTAAGGCAGGAACCTCTGCAAGAGGAGACAACAGATTAGTGACCACGGCTTTCTGGAAGTGGATGATAACGAACTTGTGAGTCACTTACCTGGTCTTATAGTTCAGTCCGATCCAGAGGGTAAGGATGGTTCCATCCAGCTTGCTGCCAATGCGCAGTGCTGTCACCACACACAGAGAGTTCCAGAAGCTATCGATGGTTGGAGGAAAGGCAGGAGATCAGAACCAAGCAGATGAATGTAGGCAGAATAATCCAGAGGGTGAAGCCAAAGTTGATGTTGCTGACATGCTCTGTGACATGTCAGAGCCAGGAGGTCAGAGATCCGGTGAGTGGGTGAATCAAGAACGGAGTCAGGTCACAGCTCCAGGTACGATACTGGCAGGAGTCAGAAGACAGGTCAGGCAGACAGATCAGACAGGAACAGGCAGGCTCAGAGGTCAAGAGGCAGAACAGGTCAGGATCAGGTAATCAGGACACAGAAATGCTAGAATAAGTCTCAGCAAATGGCTCAAATGATCTGGCCCTGATGACTGGTGTGAAGGCTGGTTAAATAGAGACTGATGAAGGTGGATCAGATAAGCAGGTAATGAGACCTGGGTGGAGCTAAGCAGGTGTGTGAAATTAGTAATCAGACCAGATATCAGTGCCAAGATCTAGACACATCCAGCTAATCAACACAGAAATATTAATGTGTCAAGTTTTTAATATTTCTTTACAAAAAGAAAAAAGAGAATAACAAAGATTCCATGCAAATACAGCAACAACTGCAGGTTCACTATGAGCTCCAACTTCATGTCTAAAAAAGAAAACAACAGCCTTTTAGCTTCTTGGCTCTTGGCTGTTTTAGCTTATGGTAGATTTACAAATAAAAATCACTGTTAACACAAATAGCTCTATTATTACAATCCCATTGAGTGTCTGTAAATGAAGATGCAAATATCAAACAATAGGATCATTTTTGAATTTAAAACAATAGCCAAAGATGAACCAGTCTGACTGCCTATTTTGTAAAACATTTTCTTGTGAGTGTTCCTGCTGAGTATTTAGTATTTATGTACTAATGTGATGTTATGTCTGGTTGGGTGAAAGAACAGTGACTGTAAAACAGAGTTTGAACTAAATCTGTAATCTCAGATTTCCAAGAGGCTGCCAACATTTCCAGGACAAAGATGTTGCATAACAGACAGAGTTTAAAAGTTTGGAGGATAAAAAAAAGCAGCTTTGATTCCATATTCTCTATATTTTGATGGGTAATGGGTTTCCATGGTCCAGCAGCTACATCCGAGCCGTACATTACCAAATGCAATTCAAAGCATCATATGCATTGGTGTAAAGCAAACCACTACTGGATTTCAGAGCAGTGGAGGCACGTTTTCTAGGGTTCTCTGAAAATGTCCATCTGTAAATCTGATGGACCTGTCTGGGTTTGGTGACACTTGTCTGACTGCATTGTACCTACAGTAGTGTAAAGTTTGGTAGAGGGGGAATTATAATGTGGGTTCATTTTTCAGAAGCTTGGCTTGTCCCCTGAGTTCCAGTGAAAGGAACTCAGCATACCAAGACATTTTGGACAATTCCATTCTCCCAGCATTGTGGGAATAGTTTTTAGCTGGCCTCTTCCTCTTCCAACATGACTTTGCACCAATACAGAAAAAAACACACAAATGTGCTTCAAGAAGAATGGTTAAAAAATCCTACAAACACACTCCTAAATATTGTAGACAGCCTTCCAGAAGAGTTGGAGCTATTCTAGCTGCAAAGAGTGGACCTTAATCATATTGAGCCCCAATTGATTCATAGGATGTCCTTTAAGGTCATATGTGTGTCAAAGCAGGTGAGCGAATACTTTTGGCAATGTAGTGTATTTAGCCTTCCTGTTATCTGCTGAGATTCTCCAGCTCTTGCCTATTCAAGCAAAAGCACATATTACCTTTTTTGAATGTTTTAATTTCAAATATATTCTAAAACCCTCGATTCAATTTTCTTTTAGTAAAATCTTCCATGTTTAAAAGTGTCGGTAGTACTTTGGCATGTTGTACATCTCTCATCTTAAAATCAGTGAACTTGCATAATAGATAAATAGGTATTCACTGTTAGCTTCACAACCCATGCTAACTAAACTGTTAGCCATATATTTGATAAACACTTTTTTTCAGGTCAGTTCTATTACTTTTTATTTGAGTCATCAGAACAAATTTATAAACATTTCTCAATTTAGTAAACTGCATGCAACTTTTAGTAAAGACAGACAAATTGGGTTTAGGCAGAAGTGAGAAAAAATACCAACTTAAAATTAACAACATATACCGGCTTATATAACGCAGGAC